TCAACTTGGGGGGCCCACCGAAAAGATTGCTCGAAACACCGGAGCAAGTGTGTGAACTCCGGCGAACCGAGATGTGTACACACGTCTCTTCCTAAACCCCGAGCTGGCATTCCTTGCCGCCTGTAGCCACAGTCAACATCTAATTTATACGTTTAGAGTTTGGAAGCAAAGGTGGAACTCTAATACACCGCGCACACTTTGAGACCTCTTCTTCACACAGACCGTATACACTGTTGCTGCGCGGAAACTTTATACTCTGTTTGATTTCTCTCCTCGGAAGCCCTCTACCGAGACGAGGGATGGGCGGGTAACAGACGAAAAGTCGTGGCACGGCGGCAGAAGACAAAGACCCACAAGCCCAAACCAACAAGTTCAAGCAAACAACACAGAACAACAAACACTAAACAGTGATCAGTGCCGCGGTAGTAGTGGAGCGCTCACTGCGAGGTAGAAGAGTCACTAACTGCGAGATCTCTCCATGCTGCGAGAGTTCTCCCGCATCGAAGTTGAAGGTAATTAGCGGCCGGGATTCACCGTGGCTGATAATGCAGCCGACTCCACTGGCATCTCGCTGAGATGAGAAACTGATGAGACTGCAGGGATTACGCCCGCCGAACGGATTACTACCGAGTAATACGTTCGACTCGCCGAAGTTTGCAGCGGGAAGGAAAGCTTCCCAAATAGAAATCAGTATCGAAGCTTCGACCCGACTTCGACGCAGATGCCTGAATCCACCCGTCCGCAAACACACAACAATCCACCGAGAGTGCAGCAACAACAAACTGTGAGGTAACTACCAAAGATTGGATTCGACTTAATCCGTCCAACGCTACATCAATAATCAATTAAATGCACGTTAATTGAATCTGGTCGAGACGCGGCGCTCAGCTACCCACATCAATTTATTGTTTTCTATTTGCGTATCAAGTAAGAAGTTATATCAATTCATAATTTGCAAAAGTGAAGTATATTTTGACGTCGTATAGAAATATAAATCAAACAAATGTGTCCGCTGTTCCGGCAGCAGTGTTTCAGTGATAGTCCGGGAAACAATAGTTGTGTTGCAGCCAGCAGCAACTGATAGCGAAACTAAATTTATTTATGCAGCAATAGCGATGGCAGGTTCCTGTTGTCTGCGGGATATTCCAGTGTATTTGTATATAAAATTACTGCCAAGTCCTCAAACAAGTACCATATGAACGCGCGATGTACTACAGCTGATATACCGCAGAAACTGACCTAGATTGCAACCCATTGTGCGCAGTGCGATACAGCTGCACACCTTCGACAACATGTAGTGCTGGTCATGTTGCGGTGGTTTTGACACAACTATTGGCTAATAGCATCACATGCAGCATAAATGAGCTCTTCTAAATGATTTAACTTTGCGTACTTTTGGCGCAGCCTGTTTGCTGATAGAGCTTCCGTCGAGAGAGAGAGAGGTAAATATCGGCTTGACCCGCTGTCTCTGATGACCGGGCCCGATAAATTCCGGGCGTTCAGGCGAGCGAACGGTGTGTGTATTGAGCTCTGCCGCACTCGCGTCGATTTGTTTGAACTACCTGATGTGGCAATTATTCAACGCAATCCATTGTGCGCGCCGTGCACATTTTGTGGTTGGCAACCGATGAAGGCTGCGGCTCCGCCGTCTCACTGAAATTCTATTCAAACGCTTTGAAATATGAACCTGCAGCCCAACTGGTGGTCCAAGTCCGAGCACACTTTTGAGTGTTTACTATTTCAGGGATCCCCCGGTAGAAAAGTGAGGGAGAACACGGGCTAAACCCATTACGTCTGTACAAATCATCCGGGATGAGAAGAGGATGCCGGGGGAGGAAGGATCCCGGGCTGGCTTTCCCGCAGAAGTCAATATCGTTTAACTATAACACCAGCGCGGCTGCGGCCGCGGCGCGCGTCCGTAATGATTTAGTTGCGGCCTGTTACGGCCAGACGCTCGCCGGATATCTCGCCTATTGATTATATATGAGGGGTCTTCCGTCGTCCTTCGTTGCAAGCGCCCCGACTCTGGCGGGTGGTAAATTCGCACATCCTCGCATAGGAATAAATCCCGCTGCGCCCCGGGAAGCGAGGAAAGATGAACTTAAACGCTACCGATTGGTTTTATTGCCGCCCGCAACTCTCGGCCCTAAACTTATCGATGCGAAGGCATTTCGCTCGGATTGTGAGGCTCGCGCGAGCGCGGCCATTTCGCTGACCGAATACTGATTTATAACTTTCCGAGAGACTTCAATTAATGTTACAACCCGCTCCACACGCGGAAGAGATACGCGCGCCAGCGATGGAGCATCCTGCATAGATTACGCTACGGCCGTCGACCGCCAAGAGAGGACATTCCAACTATCTGGGCTGAGATAAAGCCCACTCAACTATTCCGAAGGCAATCAAATAACAATCAAACTTGAAGCCGGCTGAACGGCTGCACCGGCGTAAAGATCGAAGGAGGGCCAGGCCACAACGTCTGATTTCATTGAAACCCCTTCTCACGCCGACCGCCCTGATTCACTGCTCTAACAATACGACAAATCTGTATAGGTGGGCCGATGTAGATTGTAAGAAGAAATAAACCGAAACAGCCCTAAACAAATTGGGTACGAATAAAGAAAGCTCCCTAGTCGACGGACGTCGAGGGGAGCCACACAATGGTACAAATTGCAAACTATTTCATGCAAATCACAAGAGGGGTCGCCTACTTAATCCGATAAATTGTCGATAATGAAGTTGATTCAATGCCACGCGAGTAGTTATAATTTATTGGGAATAGATTAGATTAGAAGATTTAAGAAAAGAACCTACTAATGCGCAAATTAATGGTGGGGGTTCCTGTGATTAGGGCAAGACCCGCGGATAGTTGCATGGAGGAAGTCCAGGGGTCTTCCACGATCACGATTGCTAATTTTATATTGCTATCCCTAAAAAAGCAAAACTTTTCAATTTTTTTTAGCAATAGCAATTTTTAACAGCAATTTGAGGCACAACTGAAGGGTTTAGATGACTACCCTTTTGATGTAATCCAAAAGGTCCTAGCTGACCACCACCCGGGCTGCCATGGGTAAATGTCTATATTATACACTTCAATTTGCCGCCATCGTGAGGTTTTGATGCTTCAGTCCGAACCCCAATGAGCAAGCGTTACCCGCACGGATATTGGTCCAAGAGCATCGGGGATATAACCCGGTCGAGGGCAGTAATAACACCGCACCCAGCAAAACGCACAAAACTCCCACATTCAGAAGTCAACATTTCATATTCATAGCGACTTTAATCGGGCCGCACACACGCCTTGATTCATTTCCATATTCAAAGCGAAGAAAGCACTGCAGTGGTATCACCCGCCCAGACCAAACGCCAGCGTCGTCGTCCAGATGCAGTCTTCCCAGTCCGGCACACGAGCAAAACTCAAATCAAATCTACTTTTATTACTCTATTACTATGCTATCCTCGCCGCTCGAATGTCGGCAATGGTTCGGTGCTCCACGCTTGCTCATTCTTGATCGTACCCGAGCAGGATTTCAGCAAAAGCATTAAGTTTTTGTTGGTTTTATGCTCACTTCAAGCAAAAAAACACTTTTCATTGAGAAGATGAACACGAAGGATCCTCGAGGCGTCTACTACACGTTGTGCTAGCAGTGAAAAAATATTATTAGAGGAAATATTTTGATTGATTATAATCTAATTACAAGACGCGCAAAAACGTCGAGTGTGGCACGCGAGGCGCCTAATCGCGCCGAAGAATTTTATTATGATATGCTCGACGACAAGACGGGGACGAGAAGGACGAGCTGCCCGAACACAAACTCTGGTCGGACGACGGGACGACGGCACCCAGCTATTAATCAAAACGCTATCATTGCTGGCACAATCAGAGAGAAGATAAGCGCTTAAGATATAAATACATATATGGCGGATGTGCGCGCCCGTCATAACTCATTCTGGTTAAATGATTTATGCTTCCAATAAAAAAAGAAAACGCAAGCAGACGCAAAACCGGGGAGGGCTTCAGTGCAGGATACTCGAAATGTACAACACATGTACTGGCAAACAAATGCGCAACTTGCAATGTTGCAACCCTTGTAAATGTCGGAAATGTCATAATTTACATAGAAAAAACTATCAATCTTCAAACATAATAAAAATTACAAAATATATGTTACGTCTGTTTTGATAAGACCCTGTATAAAATGTATTTCAATGCATTTGAGTGTATTTTGTGGCCTATTTTGTAAACAGTGTGCATCCAATGATTCCAATCAATGTTGTGTTAAACATGTGGAAACACAGCCGTACACGCATAAACGCTTTTTCGAATCGAATGCGCCGCCATTTCGCGCGACCTAGCCTCACCTAAGCTTTCGAGCTTTCGGTAGCGCGTTAAACCCGAACTATTCGCGCAACAGACATAAAACTTATCCCAGCCAAGCGCTGCATACATTTGCAGCTTCCTATTCCTACTACACGTGCACATACCGTACGTACACGTGTACAGCGTACTGATGTATTGGAGCGCATCGTGTACGTTCGCCCCGAGTCGAATAAATCGTTTTTATTTATCGCCTCCCTTTCGGCAACAGACGCAAAACGCCCGTGCGTCGTTCCTGGGCCACACAGCGATTTTCTCTCGCTTTTTTGTGCTTTTCGTGCTTGTGCAGCTGTCCCCATTATGGTCCGATGGTAATGGATTTATAATAAGCAGTATCATGCCCGAAGCCCGACTCCTGCTTGCACAAACACAAACAAACACAACTCAAACGCTCTTCCTTCCGTGCGTAGGTAGTAACTCTGTGTATGTCTAGTAGTTGGGGCTGGACGTGAATGCGCGGTTGGGTCCGAGAACCGTGCCGGCCACAGAAACCTTAATTATATCGAAATTAAGTGAAAACGAATGAATAGCGACCGCCACAACCCGCGGCTAAAATATGCGTCGTGTATGTGTGTACGTGTATACCTTTTTAGGTAAAATATATACAGTAAATAGGACTTACAGATTATAGTGGACGTCGGCCATGTTGGGTCGGTGCTCCAGAGCTTTTCGGTACGCCCATTGTGCTTCCGTTATCCTTCCTTGACTGTTCAACACACTGCCTAGGTTACCGTAAGCTAAAACATAAAGTGAAATAAATTAATACGAAAATTAATATTAATAAAGGATGGTATAGGTCAGGAGCAGTTGGCACTTTTATGAAAATATATCTATCATCCATATGAATTTACTTCAAAGCTTTCATTGTGCTTGGTTCGAACTCTTCACCAAATAAACCCGAGTATAAGAATAGAAGAACAGAATGGAAACCACAAAAGATGTTCAATAAGCAAGTACAGAACGTAATTTATCGTTAATTGAAATAGTTGCGTGTTGAGCTTTTGCGGACTTGCCGACCAAGCCAACATCAAAGGCAAGCGCAACCGGAATGCAAGTTAAAAGCTAAAAGTTAAAAGTTTATTTGCGTCCTGCGGCTGGAAATCCAACACAAACCACGAATTCAAATCTGAAATTATCCAATCGCACATTGACAATTAGGCGCATTGCCCACCCGGATTATCAAAGCAATGTTAAAAAAAATAACACACATTCTACTACCTAATAGTAATAACAGAGTATGACCAACATGCTGAAGAGAGAACAAATTAAAGCGAAAAACGGACACGGACGCACGAAATGTAACTACAGCCGGAATGCCAGGTCCCCGGGACGATGGCAAACAATGTTTAGTCATTACGTCAGCTTGCATTAGCGACGATTATATCAGAATGCAATTGCGGTCGAGTGGGGCAGCAGCATTGCGTTTTAGTTTTCATCGCCGCCATCGACAGAGCGTGCTCGGCGTAGTTATTTTTCGATACGTCGTGCATGTAATGACCCGCACCGCGCAATTTGCACAGATGGCATTGATCACGAATCGAAATTATATCAAATTATTATCCGCGTACCGGGATAATAAAAAACAATATTCATAAATCATCTAAAAATTACCTTCAATTGATGTTATTTTTTTGCTGCTTTCAAGGTAAACAATTGTATTTGTACGATACTATCTGCCATCAGTTTCTGACGCGTTTGCAGTAAGTCAAACAGATTCTGACATAGCGCGAGACTTGTAAATAGATTACGGCGCCGACACGCGATGTTGAAACGCCCAGCGGGTGCGAGATATATCCTTCAGAAATGAGTAATTGGATTAAGTAAAGTTGCGCTTTTCCTTCGTTTCTTCCATACGCGGTCGTCATTCATTCACACGTTCGTTTATTACCCGCCCACGCACACAAAATTACGCTTTTCGGAACCCACCCAGTTGATATTAAGAAGTCTACTCGAAATAATACGTAAAAAATCAATGATTCAAAACACCTTGAAAGTGTTTCTTTGTTTCACTGGTTTTATTTGGCGAAGTTGTGCTTGTGTGGGATTAGCAACATATGGCTGCAAAGTTGCTGCGTGGGTAAACCGCAAAAGTTGTTTGTCGCTTACCTTTGGGCGGATTAATGGGAATCGCCGAGCGGTAGAGAGCTTCCTCACTAGTCCAGTCGCGGTTACGAAGCACGGTGCGTGCGCCGAATGCGATCAGCGTAACGCAGAGACACGCCGCTAGCGGTAGGCGGTAGCGACGCCGCCGCCACAATCGAGACGCGCCGTATCCAAACAGTAGACACATCCCGGCGCTCGGCAGGTAAAGCACACGCTCGGCAACGACAAACCCAACGTAGAAGAAAAGGTTTGTCGCCGGCAGAAAAGGGAACGCGAGCAAACCGAGTGCTATCAGGAGCGTGCAAGCGCCGGAAGCGCGTGGAGACACCCCGACGAGAACTTCCGGTGATCGTGGCGCCGTCTGACGCCTAGCACTGCTCACTGCCAGGCAGGAGCATGTGGTAAGAGTATTGTTGTTGTTATTCGACGTGCGACACGCGACCGAATGGGACTCCGGTATATCCCTCAAGCAAGTGGAACAAGCCGAGGTTACCGGAGAGGTTTGTCGAGCTCTCGGGACTTTCACGCACTTTTGACCTAGGTGGTCATCTTTATACCTGCACCACGCACATACACTGTATTTCACGAGCAGCCCCAAGGCTGTGTAGAACACCAGCGAGTACAACACACGCGCATCACTCAGTCGCTTCACCCGCGGAACGGCGTCCATACCCCAATCAAAACTTAGACTTCCCGGGAATATTAACAATCCCGCGTTTAATACCGGGAGATATAGAAAGGTGAGTAGACGAGTCAACATCATAGGCTCCTTTGCGGTTGGGTTATCCGCGGTTGAAAACTGAGGCGTTGGTCCTTGCAGACGGGCAATCATCATAAGCCCAGCAGCTGTAACGATGACCAATCCACTCTTCCATTGTTTCTGAAATCAAACAACCTAAATTAGTTGGTTGCTCCAATTATGTGCACCCTAGTTAACTTATATTATCTTGAGTGACAGGTTGGGCGCATGAGCTCATGACATCATGGACCCGTGACATTATTGAGTCCATTGACTGATGACTCGGTTTGTATACTGATAGACCCAGACGAGTGTGTGCCTGTATCGAGACGAGGCGTTGATTATAATTAAGTTGGTGGCGGGTTCGGGCTGTGTGAAAGTGGCGGTCGCATTATCAATCTCCCGAGCGGCAGGGGGCGCGGACGCCCCAACCGCGTCGGTCCGGGCGGCGCGCAGTCAACACAAGTTAGACCCGCATCCGTCTCCGGTCTGCTGGCGCGCGAACACGAACACGCCATAGCGCCAATAAATCGCCTCTTGGCGAACCATGCCAACAACCCTCGCGCCTTCCAAAACAAAATGTACAGCGGCGATAAACATGTAAATACGTAGCACCGAAATCAAGAGTTAACTGCGAAAACCCAACCCAGTATAATATTATACTACTCCTTTGAAATTGAAGAAATTGAGCAGTTTAGGTAACGCTTGGTGTATTTGAGAGTTTCTAGGTTTAGTGAGTACCGACATTTGCAGACACTTCATATTTATGCCCGCATCAAATTACAATAATTCATTAGTCGAAAGGAAAGCGGGAGGAAATTCGATTTCTGACGGTATCAGATGTGTCTGTGAAATATGGCACCGGGTTCGGCGCACCGTATTTAAATCGAGGAGGTCAGAGCACGCGGAATCAATTCGGAGCTACGATACCGTGGGATGTGGGAGTGAACGCTTGTCGAGTCTCTCACACCTCCTTCAAGTCAGCTAGCATTAAGTGCAGATACGCGCCCGCGTCGCAAGGAGGCGAACGTGTCGAAATTGCCTCTCGAACTTCTGCCGCGACAAAGAGACGTCGCGTCGTCGCCGGCGCTCCCCCGAGGGCTTGCGGCGCGAAATTTTTACGAAGCGCGAGCGTATTGCCAATGAGCCACAGCCGCAGCAGGGAAGGAAGCGAGGAAATTCGATTCTTGATTAAAACAGCTCCAGAAACTGCTACCCGCCAAATAGCCGGGAGGTGACTGGGTATATCCTGCTGTGTTTCATATTGAGGCAGGTAATGTGTCAATAACTGATTGCGTTACAAAATAATAAAAAAATATATTTGGTGATGAAGCATGTTAGACCTATATACAACCCACATATTCTTGGTTACTTGCTTGCTGGAATTGAAGCTTTTCTCCCCCTCTCATGATGGTAAACGCGAGTTTAGTGCTTGTATAACACTCACTTTGGCGCACGATATGGCGTGCATCGTATCGCGCATAATCTTAATATTGGTAGATCGTTTAGCGGCGCGCGCGGAACGAACGATTCCCGAGCGCGCGCCCTTGCTCAAACGTCGTGATCGTAGCAACCGATGTTATTTATGCCGCCGCTCTGGATTAGAAACAGAAGCCCGAGGCGCGACTTCCAAATATTTCCGGAATATTGAGCTCCGCCCGTTGTAAAACATTCCTCTCTGTGTGTGAACCTCTAACAAAGACAAAAATGATGGAGCATAGTCGTAGTACGAAGGCGATGACGAAGAGGCCAACTCAGGGAGTTGGAGAAATCTCTTTGGTAAATATACGAGGTCATCTTAGTGCGCCAGTTCAAGAAAGAGAAGAAAAAACGAGTATTTCATCCGTCGTTTGGCGTTATTCCTCACAACCCTTTTTGATTTCCTTTGGCAGTGACTGCGAAGACACCATCGGGCACGAAAGAAATCAATTCGAAACTCACTTCCAGACCGTTCAAATTGCTTTTCTATTTTATTTCTTTTCGTTGCAATACGTCTTGCTTCTGTTCGAACAGTGTGTTTCATCCAGATCTGGGTCCTCCATATTGGAATTGTCTCTTAGGAAATGTCCTACAGTGTTGCAGAATAATTTGTTTATTGAATTTAGATTTTTTCTATTTTAGGGTAGTTAAACATTGGTGCTAAAGTGCTGGCTAGAAGTAAAGTTCTCATCACCTTGGTACGTTTCCAAGAATAAAATAAGAAGAGTGCGAGTATTTATGCGCCCGAGCATCTTGGTGTTGACTGAGCAATTTGTCGAGATCAGTAGCAGGCGACTGTATCAAATGTAAACACACATCTCATCCAGGCCCACAGCGTCGAAGCCATTGGCACGATGGAGCAAGAAGCAAAGCCAGAGAGGTATCAATAAACTATCATTAAATTAATTCCAGTGAAACGTTAAATCTTCACCGGGAGGAAATAAATTTTCTTCGTTTATTTCTTCGACCCGTGGAGTGTTCTCGGTGTTGGTAGTGTGCTCCTCGCATTTGCTCCATTTAGAGAGCGACTTGCAGGAGAGGAGATTTCCAATCTCCTCTATTTTTTACTCCACTTTTTCGCTCCTTCCTTCTTTCAATGCTATTTAAGCACAGGGCATCCAGAGAGTATCGATATGGAGTAGGACTTCCGATCCGCCTTTTTTCCTTTCAACGCCGAGAGTTGAATAGGCAGACGACAAGCAGTAGCCAGCGTGCCAAAAAGAATCCAAAGAAACTTTCCAATAGAATGGCACCGAAGGGTTTTCGCGTGGCAAAATGCATGGGACCAACCACCAGATTCATTACGTAAGAACCGTTACAACTTATACGCTGTTTTCTTGAAGCCAGCCGGCAACCAACCATGCAACTTTTCCAATCTTCGCTGCTGCAAGCAGGACGCGCGATAGCGACAGCTGAACGTGACGCATTAACACGTACCGCTCCCGCCCCGATGCGACGCGGTGGCGGTTTATTGCCCCATGCCCCAATACTACACCGAGCGACACCAAGATCAATGAGCGTTTCGTGAGCGAAATGGTTAAAAATTTAATACCGACCGAAGCCACCTTCAGCATACCCGACAACTCCCTAGATGTGATACGAACATCCCCGGCACCCTCATCCTACAATCTTGATGTCTTTGACTGCATGCGCATCATGTGATCTTGGTTGGGAGAACAGACCCAAGAATGCGATGACTTCTCTTCCCTCGAATATTAACGACAACAGATCAGCTGCATTCGCCCCTGCCGACTGGTGAAGAATGACATGAAGGCATGGGGGGAAAGTCGATGATGTTTTGAATTAGAAATTTGCGACGCGTAGCATTCAAATCGATCGGAAGCGAAGTGTGAGTGACCTAAATGCCGACGATGCACGTTGCCGGTGCTTTTCTCCCCAACACGCCGCGTTTTTTTTTCTTCCTCTCGTCGAGATTCTTATTCAACATTTTGAGGGATAATGGGTCGCATTACGTTCGGATCGTTGACTCAAGTAACCGAGTTTTTGTTCATTCGTGTAGCGACGGCCTGTGCGCCAGAGCTACATTATTCAATTGATTATGAAGGCAGAAAGTTGGGGTCAACCTCAAAATATTACCGAAAAAACAACGCGCAAATATTTTTATCTGCAACTCATTTAGACGCTTTGATCGTTAGAATTGTTTCCTTGTCATAAAGTATAGATACTCGGTGCGCAAACAAGTTTTATGCGAGCATGCGAAATTAATGCCTTTTAATCAGGCGTTCGGCAGGCAGACATAAATTGAAATGTACGATAAAACATGTAATAAACTAGATCGATAATAAATGATACCTATGCTCGTGCAGAGTGCGCATTCGAATGTTGGATATTAAACACATGATTCTCTTCCGACTCCGGGGCATCGTGAGGTATACTTTTTATGTGAAATTTTGATGTGATCAGACTTAATGGGATCATAAACAGAATCAAATCGTCCGTTGAGTTTTATAGATTCAGAACACAAACAAACAATATAATGATTCGCTTTAAAATCTCTTACCTTATTGATATTTGGTGAGTGCAACACATCAAATAGCACACAAAGTCCTAATACTGTAATACCAGTCTCCTTGCTCAACATGGCGGCACCCGAGAGAAGTATGCTGAGCGCAAGCATCGTATAACTTTTCACGCTCTTCAGCCAGCAACAGGCCTCAGCACCTCCGTCCGCCCAGTCCTTGCCGCCGGCGACCGCACATCCCTTTCGTTTGACCGCACCGATTTTGTTCAGTTCACTAAAACGCACCGTCAGCTCACGCGGGTGGTGCTTCACCAAACCGGAGCCACTCGTGCAGGCACCATTGACCTGGCTGCTGTTGCACGAAACATGACTCTGCTGGTTTTGTTGGTAGCTGGAGATATCGCTGCCGCAGCTGACAGACTCTTCAGTGTTTATCCGACATGATTCGCAATATTGCGTGTCTCTGTGTTTGATGTGAGCGATGTAGGCCAGAAACGAAAGTAGGTAGAGGTTACAAGCTGCTAGATCCGCACGGCCCACAACTCCAGCCACAGCTTCCGTGTGAATTGGATGCGCAGCAAAGAGAAGACCTGCTACCCCGGAACCGATGGAAGAGTGACGGGTTCGTGGGAGCACGTGGCGTGCTACTCGAATCAGCAGTACTGTTGCGAGACAATGAAGGAGAACGTTCACTAAATGGTAACCCCATGGTTGAAACCCTCCGAGGAGATAGTTCAACCGGAAGGAGAGTACGCATAAAGGTCGGTATGAACCGTGGGAGCCGCTGTCACTCAAAGGAGTTCCCCAGAAATCGTCCTGTAGTAATCTGTGCCATGGTGTCGTCGGTAACAGATCCGGATTGCTCAAAATTGCTCGCCTGGAAAAAACAAGATATAGATATAATCAATAATGTAATCAATTTAAAGTTACAAGAAAAAAAGATTTGTTATTGCATGGACTAGATAAAACCTTAAATCTAAACATAGTTTTTCTTGATTTGCCTGTCGTTAGTTACGCTTCGTCCATCAACTATTAATGGTAACGAGACACGAGTTGAAATTATTTATAAAAGATCCGATTGCAGTAGCTTGGTGCTCGGCGCGAGAGCCATACAATATGCATGAAATAAATTACATTATAATGGGGGCGACTTCATTAAATTATCGATTGCGCGCCGTTCCGGCCGGCAAACAGAAAGCCGCATTCATTCAATTCCCGCCGATGGTTCTTTCCGTCTTCCGGGTTTCCACCACGTTTGCGCGTGGCGGCCGGGGACGAGTATGCCAGAACTAATTTGAAGCAAGATTGAACACGATCAGTGGAAGCGACCGAAACAACAACAATAACAAGCCGAGACAACACACAATACGCGGCGGGTACAAGTAGGGCGCCTAGTGAAACGTAACGAAAACAAAAAGAAAATTAATATTTTCCGCTCGAGTAGAGCCGACTGCGCCGTTTAATTAATCAAACACGACACTGGAGACTCGTGCAGCTTGACTTTACCGCCCCCATGATAGATTTGTCCTTTATGTCAGCCAAAATTGATCAAATAATATTGAACATGCAGTCATTGATGACGTCATATCATTAGAAGTGTATTGAAGTCGAGAGGAGTCAAGGAAAGTCGACAAGTCAGAAGTATTATATCGCAGCCGCACGAGTGGAGTTCTGAATTGAAACCCGGCGTGTGCACAAGGGAAGGAGCAGCAGGAAAATAATTAGCCGGCGCAATGAATGAAATGAAAAGCTCAATTCATTCAGAAATCGTCAAAACCCAGCCGAGTGTACCCGTTCATTGCACGTCATGCGGAAAGTATTCCCAAGAGTTCAGTTATTGTATTATAGACTTCTATTTTTGGATCTTTTGCCTTCAAAAATTTCATAGTGCAGGTCATGCCCTGTAAAGTTAGGAGTATTCCGTACTCCCCTCCTGGTTAACTATTAATTTGAGCATGATAGTTTATAGTTGGTAAAGTGGCAAAAGATCAATTCCACAACGCCAGGTCCTACTCTTACCATCCTCCGTCCTTTGCCTGCTAAGGCATTAGTTTGCATTCATGTACTGTGTGCAGAAGCCGGTTTGTGTATAATGAGTGCTGAATGTGTTTTGTGGGGTTCGTTGACGGTTGGTTGTGCGGTAAAGTGGCGGTAGCGGCGAGCAGCCGCCTCAAACCACCTTCGTTTGCGCACCATGCGAGATATGCCCACTTTGAGAAAGGGCTTCTCAAAGGAGCAACGCGCCAACCGAGCAACTAACCAACCAACCAACCGACCGACCGAGCAAGGAAGCAAGCCTCCGGTGTAGCAAGCGGGGCAAGGAAGGACGCATGAGAAGATCTTTGAGACGTTCAGAAATGAGCGCTATATGAAAAGGGTGAACTGTCGTGGCAAGGCAATAACCTTATAGTTATCGCAATTATAACTCATGTAGGAGTTGAGGAGTGAACAATTGTCTGCTACTAATTTACACGCATATATGCGGGAGAATGCTGGATAAATTTAATTATACTTCAAGGCCATCAAGATGTAGTAAGCTTATTTTCATGTTACTTGTAATAAAACTCGCATTTCTAAGAATTTAATCAAATAATTATGTCGAGACGCTGGAATTAGAACTTGCGTTGGTGTAAACATTTCAAGGTCACCTTGCCATGACCCAAATAGGATTTCCAGGCGTTTAATATTCATTTTTCGTTTAAAATTTGCTCGACTTGCTTCCATGAATCATTACACGAATTTATACTTTGCCCGGCTTCTCGCGCTCCGCGCGCGCCTTCCTTCCACATTTAATCACCGTACTTAGAAAGTGCAAATTCGTGTACTTCTTCTCAAAACGTTTGCTCTTTATGCCGGCGTGCGACTACCGCACCGCCGCCATTTTACGCTAAAGATCCTCGATTTGTATGAGAGCGGGCGCACGCTCGCCCGCCTCCGAAAACGAAATTTGCATGCAAATTTTAAAGGCTTTGTTTAAGGAAACTACGGCGCGGCGCTGTGTTTAAAGTTTTCCCGTTTTGCCTTCATCCGTTTCATCCAAAGACAACGAACGTTGGTATATAAACCTTGCTGGTGTTTGCGCCCGGCGCCTCCACCGTATTTATTAACTAACTTGCGATGTGAATACGTCCCACACAGTATGATTATTTTTTAATAATATTTTTTATTCTGGTGGGCTAGTGAACTGTTGAAAGTAATGTGAATAGAGATGGGATAAAAACTTGTTTTGCGCTCTCGAGTGGCGAGTTTCCGCCGAGATTTTGCACTCCATCGTCGATGGCACGAACGAGCGATGGCAGCTCGAGATCGATTTGCGGTTTGCAGGTTAGGCGGACGCGATATGCACGCTTGCATGCACGCAGGCGGCGAGGCAAAAGTTCGGGGAATCAGGAAGAGGATGGGATGGCAATAAATCTGGCGGCGTTATCGTGTTGTAATATAGTGGGAGCTCGCTCTCGATGGGGTTTTAACGGATGGCCTGCTTGCTACCGCGCAGCATCTCCGCATCGTCGTCTTTGTGGTCCTGGTGCGAGTTATATAACGTAAACCAACCTAAACTAACTAATACCTGAGAAAAACTAAATAATATTAATGTGTGTTACTATAGGGAGTAAAATAAAAGAGATAAGGTTTATGGAAGTTGAGTTATGGTCACTCACCGATCGTCGTAGACGAAACCGGCGTCCAGCGTGTTGTAATACAGCAGAAACGCAACCAAACAGCACAACAGGCTGACGTAATCCATGCTGCGTCCTTGTGATGGTTGGGTGGTCAGCGCATAGTCTGCAAATGCGGAGGTGAGCACAGCGCCGTCTGACTTGTTGCTCAGTCGCCGCGCGCGACCCCCGATCGAACTGCAGCGTCTTGCAACGTTGCAGTATCAAGACGTGATTGCCCAACTGCTGTTGGTAACGGTGCTGGTGCCTTTAAGGGTGTTGAAATATGTTGGATCATTTACGGCTGGCGTCGTGCCGAGCGTGCACATTACATTTTTCTCGGCGTTAGACGCGCGTCGTGCGGAATACGAAAGTTCTCAGGTTTTCCGGCTGAAACGAGAGAGGGTTATAGGTGACCGGACCACCAAGGGTGCAAAATCCGTTTGCCTGTTTGCACTACCCGCACACACGCCACACGCACGTCACAGGTGAAACGCTACACCGGGATGGGATTTAAACGAGGAGAAAAAAATTATACGTTAGTGAGAGCTTGAAAAGACCGAGATTTCTATCTCAGCGAGGTTGGCGACGCAGCTCTCGTTGCTAATTCTGTTTTTCCAAAAAGTCGACCGTTTAAATGGCTAAAGCAAACTTTGCCCGACCGTCCGTGTGCTTTCTCCGTTTACTTCTTCGCCTCGTACGGTGCCCGTTTTTCTCGGACGGGGCCCGATTGAATGAAAAGTAAATTAATTAAGTCTCCGCTCGGGCAAGTCGCCTGATAGTTTTTTTTCTTCTTTTTTTATTTGCTCCTTCGTTCCACCACTTCGTTCCGGCTCGTACCAGCGCTTGTTTTTTGTCGAGGGGTTGAGAAAGGTATTAACTAATTTTCATTTGCGCTCTTGCTCGACTGGCGCTCATTATTTCGATAACTTCTCTCTGATGTCAAGAAGAACCAGGAAGATAAATGCAGGAAGTCAACAATGAGCCTGCTATATCGGCTGTCACGTCCAAAGCTACGAGCTCACACTGCTTGCACGGTGCAGTAATGATCTACCTCGTAGATTTCGAGTAGATTTTTACCTGTAGCGCGCACCTGCCTTCGCGGCGGCCGTCCAAATCGAGGACTGAGGCGATGTGCGTCGCGACGCCGCGTTTTATATGCACACGCCGAACATTTCGCGAACACTGGCCGGCGTTTCGGGTGCGCGCGATCGACCCTCTCGCGCGCGCCGCGACGCCCGCCCCACCATCGCCGACAAATGAGTGCGCGCGCGCGTTCCTCCGCCGCGATAGCCGCGACGCCCGCACAGGTGGTGGCGGTACACACACGCAGTGCTTCGGTCGGTGATGCAGGAAGACGACCCTCAATCCTTCATAATTCACATCCAATTATCACTTGTGACGCGTATGAAGAACAACGGCATAATATACTCATTATAATCAAGTATTTATGCAATTAATAAACCACTTATTCATCAATAATTTATCAACAAAATCAAACATAATATTCAAACCTTAAACAAGTGAAACTTTTAGGTTTTGCTTTCGTTTTGCAAAATATACTTACACAAACGCTTTGCTTTTTTTGTAAAGCATTCGGTATAGTTGCAACTCTGTCAACTCCAACGGCGCCGCCGGTGCCGAGTTGATACTCGCTAAATTTACAATTTCAGAAATGCACGAAACTGAATTCGTGTTGGAATGAAAAAAAAGCGTTTGTTTTACACGCCACCTCGCACTCTATTGTACGCGTTGGGGGCGCACATGCAAAGCGTAACATCGTCACAAAATAAAACAGGACGAAACAAACTCGCGTTGAAAAAAAAAACGCGGAAAAACACTCAACTCCGGCCGATTCCACAGAGCCGCGCGGCTATTGTCGCGCGAGTTGCAAAGGTGCAAAAGGGATTCGTGGGCAAATTTCCATGCGTTCACCGTGATGCCACGAAGCGACGAATACGAAACAAAATGCAACAAATAACCTACGTCAACACATTTGTACTTAAACAAAATATCTAAATTTAAAAACTAAGACTAATTTCAAATCACATACGTAAATTTAGCGACCATTCCAAAATTTACCACATAATGCCACAACCCAAACCTGATAGTTCCACTACGTCGTCCTTGATGCGTTCACTTGAACCGTGTTGAATTGTGTTTGGGTTGTGTTGCGTTTTGCATACACACTCGTCGTCCTTCCGACCCTTTTCAAGTCGCCATCGACCATCTAACCCTTCGCCTGGTCAACACTATTAATTCACCACCACTATACAACTCTGTTTACATTTCTTCTGATCGAAACAAGTCGCTCAACTGCCACACTGTATTTTTATATTTATATGTTATTTATAGGTTATACTTTAAGTGTCCACATTGCATGAATGCTTTGTGGGCAAGTGAAGCAAAACAACTGAAAGCACTCGAAGCAAATCGAGTCGAACCTAATTACGACTAATTTACCGTCGCGGTTGCAGCGGCGAGAAGGGCGACTTCCAATTACGCCTAATTGTGGTGTTATTTGAAGACAATAGGGTTTGACAAGTACTACCGGTCCTTTATTCAATTCTAACATGCATTTGTAGAGATTCACTCTGCAAATTAATATTATTCCAATTCAAGGCAGATATTAAGCGATTTTTAAATATATTACAATAGAATCGCAACAATTTGCATGCATAAAATTATATACAATTGAGGTTATGACTTTTTTGTGTGCATAACCATAAACATATTGTATATAATTATAAATTTATGATTTGTGCATTTGCTAGGAATTGGGTAATGTGAGTTTTTGGATTGCGCGAGCTGTTGTCTTATTCTTTAGCAGACGGACTGACGCACGGTCCCTCATTGTCGGACGAATTTAATTAAGAATCGTCGAGTGCATGCTGCGGCCGGCCGTTGTTTGTTCGAAGCAATTAAGTCGAACACGAGCAAACCGTAACGCAATTGTACAAGTGCACACAACTGCACAGCCGGACGTAATTGAATATTATCCAAGAACACGAGTAAATACCACTTAATTAAAATCAACTTTGTCATAAAATCATCTATTATATATTTTAATATTCAGTTGATTTTATGTGAGTATGTATATGTGTGAATGCTGATATCAATATGCTTTTGTAGTATCACCTATCCAGTACTCAGTTATTCATCGATGCATTCATCCATCTCATGTATATTTAATGGAAATTTGAGTATTTTTGATCATGTTAAGCTCAAGTCAGCCCCTCGGTCCCCTTTTGAAAGCGAGTGCATCCATCTTTGCTCTTTTACTCCCTTGTTAGTTGTCTCCCTAGTGTTTTGCTTCTGCTTGTGCACTCCAACGTCCCTATGTCATCTCTTTTTTCTCTGTCATTGCCTTCGATCCCTCGCCCTCTTTGCACGAAGGTGTCGCATGATATGGCAACACCGATGACGCTTCAACGCTTGACACAAGCACTCTGTTATATATTTTTTTAGATCCAATGATGAGAATAAGGATATCGACACCATCAAGTATTAAATATCACACACGATGTGTTATAATACGGCGTGAGTTTCCAAACACTCATTTATTTTTCCAGTTATAAACTTGGAGTGATAAATGATGATAGCTTGTTAAGTTTTAAAGTTTCGATTAGTTTGACAAATGCATGTAACTTTACTTTTAGTTGAGTCAACTTAACTAAACATCATACATCAATACTCGTACACTTGAATTCTGGACAATGACAATGGAAGCTTGTTGTCTGTATTTACAGAATAAATGACTAAATGAGCTGTATTAGTTCACTAATACAACGCCAGTGCTCATTAAGCTAAACGAAGCAATCGGCATTCGGGGCTGCGTGACGTTTTGATAAATCGTTCTAATAAAACAGAATATATTATGGATTACCAATTGGGAATATGGGAATATTATTGGAATCGCATTTGCAGCCCTGCCGAACACTCACCGCGCCGTGTGTGCACTCACTCATCCCCTACAACACACATAAATGTGACTTCATCCTATAATGAAGCACTGTGTCAATACTCGTCTTTATACACTTCTCTTTCTTTCTCACTTACACTCCGGAGTAAATATATTGATACCTAAATTCTTTTAAAAGCAATTTGATAGACCGACAAAACGTATTGGGCTGTGCGAAGGGTGGGTATGTTGGTTGTTGGATATTACTGGGAAATGAGGGAAACCGGCGATGCTTTTATTATAATGATAATACGTTATTGACTCAACGCCGGAGAGCTTTATTTTATGGCCCGCTAACAGAAATAACGTACGCGCAGGCACAGGCACACATCGCCGTTCCCGCCGCCGCCCTCGCGGGCGTATAATTCACATCCATTTGCGCGACGACGACGACGACACTGGGCAAGTGTGCGTGCGGCGGCGAGTAGATGAGCGATGAGCGAATGTGTGTTACGCGACGACGATGAAACAATTTCCATTATCCAAATATCCCATCTATATTTAATTTCGTTTCTGCGTTTTCCGGTTGCTGGCACGTCCCGACCCCAACCCTCGGGTATCTCATTACGGTTTGCCTTCAGTCAATACCTTCTACGCAATCATTTCTTATTTTATTAATTGATTTGTCGAAATTTAAGGTTGGGTTTATGACTTTTATGACATCCTGTATAAAAAACGTAAAAACATGACATTTTACCAGGGGTGTCTTCAACCCCGGTTTCATGTGAGTACAATATGTCGGTTTTGCCCTTAACAACACCACCATACCCCCCATATTCAGTGTGTTTCTATGTTTCGTTCCACCCTCTGCTATTCACATCCAAATCTTCTACTTCTACCCCTGTCCCGCTTTGTTTTAATGAGTATTTCTCTTTCTGTTTGCTTTCTTGTTCCACATGCAGCGTATAAAATATTACGCTGCCGTTGTCGTCATGTTGCACACTGCCGAAATGCCCCGCAGTCATCTAGACGGCGGCGGTCGGCAGGACTCCCGGGGTCCTTCCCGGGCGACGAACATGACGAACTTAATTAACTCCACCGCTACCCCTGCATTCATCCCGGTGCGCATTGGCATCAACTCGACACCATGGCGCGCGCGCGAGTGCTATTTTTGCGCTGGCCGTGTATTAAATTACTTATTTTCATGCTGACGATGGAGGTGGCGGTGGATGCGTCGAGATGCGGAACGGAACGCTATCCTCACCTTCCGCAGCGGCGTACGTTGCGGTCGTGCTATACATTTAACAAATTAATGCGGATACAAAGTTCATAAATGTATTTCCTTCAAAGAAAAAACATTTTTCAGGTATCTACGAAATAATTGCATTTTTGAAAGCTCAATACCATGTATCAAATGATTCTCGATCAATTTGTCGTTGGACGAATCCTAGCAATACATAAAACATCGAATTGGACGCTCGGCCAAATGTATTTGCGTAAGCAATGGGTTATGGTAATGGCACCGGATGTGGCGGCAGCAACGAATTGTGAACGTGCCGCCCGCGCGCATTAATACACGCTACTTTATTGCCGTTTATTGCGGGATTCATAAAATGCAAAATTATTACCCGCAACTACGCACCATACATCTCTGCAATGCGAGAATGAGATTTCACCAGAAATATTACACCCCGTCCAGGTGATTACCAATAACCAATAATTGGGTACGAAATTACCAGTTTATGACCACTCACTGATGCAAAACATTTTCATCATTTGTCACCGCTGCGTAATCATCTTTATATTCATTGCGAACCTTCCCGAAATTATGGTTGGTTATATTGGTCACATGTGCACCCTTATTATTATGCCTCAATTTATACCCACAGATTGGTCCTAAGAATTTGTTCTATATTCCACATTCCAAACAGTTGGTTCATTTGCTCCTTCCTTTCAGGCGAGATTGCTACATGTGGGACGACAATGAAACACACCCTTGTGACGTTTGCATTGGTGGATGTTCCCCAAGGGTTGTAAGTTATAACAATGAACGGACTAGACCTTTTCTTCTTCAATCATTATGCATGCAAGGTTACTCATACTTGGTTATATCTAAGTAAAAAAATCAAGGATAACATTGGCTTTATGTTAGGGTGACAGTCACACAAAGTTATTATTTATTGGAGATAGCGCGTGACATGTAACTATGACAGGGTGTGTTAATAATGTGCTTTTAATGCTGCCATAACTTTTTTAAATGAAATTAATGTTTGAT